CCTTGCTACTTTTTCTGTTGGGTGTTGTTAATGCAATTCTGATATATTTTTAGCACTGACATGTTGTTGTTGTTAAGTTGCATTTGCTCTTGTGCTCTTAGAATCATAGAATCATAGAATTGGAAGAGACCACAAGGGCCATCGAGTCCAACCCCCTGCCAAGCAGGAAACACCATCAGAGCACTCCTGACATATGGTTGTCAAGCCTCTGCTTAAAGACCTCCAAAGAAGGAGACTCCACCACACTCCTTGGCAGCAAATTCCACTGTCAAACAGCTCTTACTGTCAGGAAGTTCTTCCTAATGTTTAGGTGGAATCTTCTTTCTTGTAGTTTGGATCCATTGCTCCGTGTCCACTTCTCTGGAGCAGCAGAAAACAACCTTTCTCCCTCCTCTATGTGACATCCTTTTATATATTTGAACATGGCTATCATATCACCCCTTAACCTCCTCTTCTCCAGGCTAAACATGCCCAGCTCCCTTAGCCGTTCCTCATAAGGCATCGTTTCCAGGCCTTTGACCATTTTGGTTGCCCTCCTCTGGACATGGTCCAGTTTGTCAGTGTCCTTCTTGAACTGTGGTGCCCAGAACTGGACACAGTACTCCAGGTGAGGTCTGACCAGAGCAGAATACAGTGGCACTATTACTTCCCTTGATCTAGATGCTATACTCCTATTGATGCAGCCCAGAATTGCATTGGCTTTTTAGCTGCCGCGTCACACTGTTGGCTCATGTCAAGTTTGTGGTCAACCAAGACTCCTAGATCCTTTTCACATGTACTGCTCTCAAGCCAGGTGTCACCCATCTTGTATTTGTGCCTCTCATTTTTTTGCCCAAGTGCAATACTTTACATTTCTCCCTGTTCAAATTCATCTTGTTTGTTTTGGCCCAGTTCTCTAATCTGTCAAGGTCATTTTGAAGTGTGATCCTGTCCTCTGGGGTGTTAGCCACCCCTCCCAGTTTGGTGTCATCTGCAAATTTGATCAGGATGCCCTTGAGTCCATCATCCAAGTCGTTGATAAAGATGTTGAATAAGACCGGGCCCAAGACAGAACCCTGTGGCACCCCACTAGTCACTCTTCTCCAGGATGAAGAGGAACCATTGATGAGCACCCTTTGGGTTTGGTCAGTCAGCCAGTTACAAATCCACTGAGTGGTAGCATAGTCAAGACCGCATTTTACCAGCTTCTTTACAAGAATATCATGGGGCACCTTGTCAAATGCCTTGCTGAAATCAAGGTAGGCTACATCCACTGCGTTCCCTTCATCTACCAGGCTTGTAATTCTGTCAAAAACGAGATCAGGTTAGTCTGACATGACTTATTTTTCAGAAATCCATGCTGACTATTGGTGATCACAGCATTCCTTTCTAGGTGCTCACAGACTGTTTGCTTAATGATCTGCTCCAGAATCTTCCCTGGTATTGATGTCAGACTGACTGGGCGGTAATTATTTGGGTCCTCTCTTTTCCCCTTTTTGAAAATAGGGAAAACATTTGCCCTCCTCCAATCTGCCGCGACTTCGCCTGTTCTCCAGGAATTCTCAAAGATGACTGCCAGTGGTTCTGAGATCACATCTGCCAGTTCTTTTAATACTCTTGGATGCAGTTCATCTGGCCCTGGAGACTTGAATACATCTAAACTAGCCAAGTATTCTTGTACTATCTCCTTAGTTATTCTGGGCTGTGTTTCCTTTGCTGAATCATTTGCTCCAAATTCTTCAGGTCGGGCATTGTTTTCTTTATCGGAGAAGACTGAGGCAAAGAAGGCATTGAGGAGTTCAGCCCTTTCTGTGTCCCCTGTTTGCATTTCACCATCTTCTCCTCTGAGTGACCCCACTGTTTCTTTGTTCTTCCTTTTGCTACTGAACATACCCATAAAAGCCTTTTTTGTTGCTTTTAACCTCTCTAGCAAGCCTGAGTTCATTCTGTGCTTTAGCTTTTCTGACTTTGTGTCTACACGTGCTGGCTATTTGTTTGAATTCCTCTTTGGTGGTTTCCCCCCTTTTCCATTTTTTGTACACATCCTTTTTTAACTGAGTTAAAAGTTAAAGTTAACTCAGTTAAAAGTTCTTTAGATAGCCACCCTGGCTTCTTTAGGCACCTTCCATGTTTCCGTCTCATTGGTATTGCCTGAAGTTGTGCTTTTACTATCTCCCTCTTAACAAACTCCCAGCCATCATGAACTCCCTTTCCTTTTAGTATTACTGTCCATGGGATCTCACCCAGCACTTCCCTAAGTTTGATGAAGTCGGCTTTCTTAAAGTCAAGAAATTGAGTCCTAGTATGCTTGGCTGCTCCTTTCCGCTGTATAGTAAACTTCAGAAGAGCATGATCACTCGTGCCTAATGATCCTTCCACTTCTACCCCACTAACCAGGTCATCAACATTGGTTAGGACAAGATCTAAAATGGCTGTTCCTCTTGTTGCTTCTCCCACTTTCTGGACAATGAAGTTGTCTGCAAGGCCAGTGAGGAATCTGTTTGAACTTATGCTCTTGGCTGAGTTTGACATCCAACAAATATCCGGGTAATTGAAGTCCCCCATTACTACTATCTCCCTTCTTTTTGCATGCTTGGCCATCTGTTCCAGGAAGGCATCATCTATGTCCTCCGTTTGGCTTGGGGATCTATAGTAAACTCCCACAATGAGGTCACTGTTATTCTTCTCTCCCTTAATTTTGACCCAAATGCTCTCACTTTGGCTTTGAGGTTCTAAATCTTGGATCTCTTCACAGGTATACACATCCCTGACATATAACGCCACTCCTCCTCCTTTCTTGTCTGGTCTGTTTCTCTGAAATAGTTTGTATCCCTCCATTATTACATTCCAATCGTGGGACTTATCCCACCAGGTTTCAGTGATGCCTATTATGTCATATTTAGTTTGCTGTACCAAGAGCTCAAGCTCATCTTGTTTATTTCCCATGCTTTGCGCATTAGTGTACAGACATTGAAGTCCATTAATCATCCCCCGTGTCTCTTATTTAAGGATTTTTTCCTCCCACCACTAGGTCTGCATGCTGTTTGCTCCATTTGGTCTATGACATTTGGATGATCATCTTCATCAATTGATAGACTCCTACCTTCAGGAGCACTGTCTCCCTCCCCACATTAGTCAGTTTAAAGCCCTCCTGATGAGGTTTCTGAGATTTTTGGCAAAAACATTCCTCCCAACCGTTGTGAGGTGCAGCCCATCGCTTGCCAGAAGTCCATCTTCAAGAAACTGCAGTCCGTGATCTAAGAATCCAAACTGTTCCTGTTTACACCATTTGCGGAGCCAGCTGTTCACTTCCACTATTTTTCCCTCTCTCCCTGGGCCACGTCGTTCAACTGGGAGGACAGATGAGATGACAATTTGTGCATTTAATTGCTTCAATTTCCTGCCCAGAGCCTCGTAGTCTCTTTTGATCTTCTGGAGGCTATTGCTTGCAGTGTCATTGTTTCCCACATGAACCAAGAGGAAGGGGTATTTGTCAGTGGGTTTTATGATTCCTTGCAGTCGTTCAGTTACATCTTGGATCTTAGCCCCGGGAGACAGCACACTTCCCGAGACATCTTGTCAGGCCCACAGATCACTGCTTCTGTTCCCCTCAGTAGGGAATCCCCTATCACCACTACACGCCTCCTCTTAGGTTTGGTCGGGGTTCTTCCGTGAGCTGTCCGTTCCAAGGTCGCCTGCACATTCCCTGAGGACTGACTTTGCTGCTCGTCTTCATATACCTGATCGACTGTAATGAGGGAGAGATCCTCAAATGGAGTCTGCTCTTTGTCTTCCATGCTAGGGGAGAGGACCTCAAAGCGATTGTGTATTTCTAAACAATCAGAGCGAACCCTGGGCCTCCTACTTCTTTGAGTTACGTTTCTCCATATATCTGGCTCCTGTGTTGGTGAACTAGCCTCCTTCTCAGGGGAGTCCCCTGTCTCCTCCATGGTGGAGACGGTGTGCTCTGTTGCTTCCAAGAAGAGCTCCAGCTATCTAATTCTTTGGAGCGTAGCTACACGTTCCTCCAGTTGCTGGACTTTGTCTTTTAAGAGGGCAATCAACATGCAATTGCTGCAGGTAAAGCTGCCTGCAACCTTTGGCAAGATGGCAAACATTGCGCAGGAACCGCAGGTGACTGCAGCTGTTCCCTCCCCCTCCATCTTGAGAACGTGTCGTTGGGGGTGGCTACAGCGGTCCTCCATCATAAAAAGCGTGAAGACAGGACAAATAACTCCCCCCACAAAAAAACCTAGGTCTCCCCCAACAAATGTTTGAGACTAGCTCCCCTAAATCTAAAAGATGGATCAAACTGCGCGCGCCGCTGCCCTGCAAGCTCTGATAAGCTCCTCCCACAGCTAATCACCTGCCTCAACGGAAACCCTGCCCCCCTCTTCTTCTGTTATGAAATTGTTTTTGCACTGTTTAGTTTTAAAATACATTCTGTTTTCTTTGTTTTAAGCTTCTTGAAGCATAGATTTATGCATGCAAGTGTGTGTGTTTGTGCACGTGCACACACATGCAAAAACAGCATGCAGATAAATTTTGAATGAATAAGTGCTAATCAGTGTCTTTGTGTTCCTCTGAGAAGAACTTTCTTCAACCGGAGATTTTGTGGTGGGTGATTGACGCCAGAGGCAAAAGTTGATGAAGCAACAAATGCAGATTTTGCTATTATCTAGTACAGGGGTTGGCAAACTAAGGCCCGGGGTCTGGATATGACCCGCAGGCTCGTAAATCCTGCCCACGGACCCTGCCACCCACTCGGTCAGCCCTGCACGCTGCAGATGCCTCGCTGCATGGGGACTGACTTCCTTGATGCTGGCACGACTCCTGGGCGGGCAGCGACACTGGCACGGCTTCAAATTGGCTCTGGGCAGGTGGCGATACTGACACGGCTTCAGATTGGTTGCAGGAAGTTCCTGCAGCCAATCCAAAGCCTCGCCACCTGCGGCTGAGGTAAATGCGGTGCAGCCATGGATGGAGAGGCCGGTGGGCAGGCGGCGTGTCTGGGCTGCGCCATGGGCATTGTGATGGGCATGTCATGGGGCTTCAGCCAGAGCTTGGAATGCCTGCTGCTGGCGCATTCGGTGGCCATGCTGGAGCAGCTGGAGGGCAAGTGCACGGCCTGCATGCAATCGGCGTGTGCAGCCTGCCCGCTGACCTTTTCTCAGACGATGGGCCACAGCGAGTGGTGCGTGCCTCCTGGGAGCTCCATGGGGATGGACCGATGGAGCAGCTGCTGCTCGTCAACAGTGTCGGTGAGGGGTGGCACTGAGACAAGGTCTAGAGCACATGCAGAGTGCATTCCTCCGCCAGATCCAGAGGCAGCTGCGGGACCGGCTTGCAGGGTATTTATATTTGCGTGTCGAGGTCCCCAAGCCACCCCCCAAATAACTGACAACGCACACTTAATTTTTGTTTAAGGTTTTTGGCATAATTTTGGCCACAACTTTATTTAAATACAAAACCGTGAGTGGTTGTTTAGGCATTGGTTAAGACTATCTGTCCCCCCGCCTGGGGACAGAACTGACTTCTGGGCACCACCGAAAGACAGTGCGGGGGAAAGCAAGCCGGGGAGAAATGGAGCTGAGTCATAGACCCTCAATTCTCACCCGCATGCTCCCCGAAGGCTTGCTGGCCCTAGTCCCATTCCAGGGATTGGACAAAAAGATGGTAAGCCCCAGGATTCCTTTAATGGAATTCCCTTTCCGCAGCAACCATGGAGGGGCAGGCCCAGCCTATCCTAACCCCTCCCACCAAAATTGCAACATAACTTTTACCCCAGCAACCCAGTGAACCAATCACTGCCCCAGGCCATCTTTAGAGACCCTGCCTGGTAACAGAGGAGTGGCTCAGCAGTCCCCACCGCAACACGTGCTCTCCATGAAGGAGAACACACTTTCTCAAAATATAGTCCGGGCCCCCACAAGGTCTGAGGGACAGTGTACCAGCCCCCTGATGAAAAAGTTTGCTGACCCCTGATCTAGTAGACCAGATTGGGAGAAGGAAACGTGCGAATTAGGCATCTATTGCTATGAACTTTCACACAGAGGACACATTTCCTATGTGACATGGATGGTGGAGAAGGGGATGGGCCTATGTATGGTTCTCCAGCAGGCAAATGTGAACTGGGCCTAAGCATCTTAGAAAGATTTTAGAAATGTTTTAAAAACAACAACCTGAGATCCCAGGGACTATGATCATAGAGTTCATGGGACACCTTAAAAAGAGGAGCCCCTTAACCATGTTCTGCCTATTTCTGGTGTAATGAATACAAGATATTTGTGTAATGGAAGGTAAACTGGGGTGGGCTCCCAGCTGGAAATAACTCAGTTCAGTATATGTTTAGTCACATGAGTGGCAATGCCTCTCAGTTCAGTACAGTGGTACCTCGGGTTACATATGCTTTGGGTTACGTACGCTTCAGGTTACAGAGTCTGCTAACCCAGAAATAGTACCTCAGGTTAAGAACTTTGCTTCAGGATGAGAACAGAAATTGTGCTCTGGCGGCGCCGCAGCAGCAGGAGGCCCCATTAGCTAAAGTGGTGCTTCAGGTTAAGAACAGGTTCAGGTTAAGAACAGACCTCCAGAACAAATTAAGTACTTAACCCGAGGTACCACTGTATTTGGAATTATTGAGCCTCTGCATGAATACATCATATAGTACTTTCAGTTACAGAGTCTATACATTTCTATAGTTGCTTTTGCTGTTATTGGTACTATTTCAATGCAGTTTAATTACAGATTCACATCAACAAGTTTACCTGAATGATAATTATTGACACACATGTGCAAACATTCCCTTGACCTTAACCCACCTTTATGTCTTGATTACATAATACATCTGGTCAAATGTCTTTATTTCCAAAGGCCACTCTGAGTGCTGTGGAAAAATGCTGCACCTTCAGTGCTTCAAGAGATCGTTTTTGTGAGCCATATTCAAGGTATGGATTAATTTATCTGTGTAACAAAATTGCAGCTGGCATGACAATTGAAAACATCTGTGGTAACAAGTTCAGCTGAGCACACGCAGAAAATGCTAACTGCTGGCAATATTTTGACAGCTAAAATGGGAAGCAAGGTACCAATGAATATTAACCATGACATGGGGAGGAAGAGTGAATGAGCTAGCACCTGCTGTGAGGACTCCAGGAAGTATTCAAAAACTTGCTGATAAATGCACACTGACAACCTTTCAGTGTATGGCCAGTGACACTCATTATATAACCCCTTTTAAGAGGGGACCCTGGAATCGCCACTGCAGGGGGGGATCACCACTTCATGTGCCCCCCCCCCCCCATATAGGGAAGAAAAGACTAAAGGATTCCACCCAAGGTCATAACTGCCACAGTAGTGACGAGTTGCTATGGGGAAAACAAAACCTGCCAAAAATGCAGGGAAATTTCTTCCCGGTCCTTCAACAGCAACCAGTCAAAGACCATAGCAGCACCCGCTAAACAGGAACAAAAAGTTAACCTGCAAACAAGAAACATTAAACAAAGGGAGGGTAGGGAGGGTGAATCTCCAGAGCCGACTGCCTGGCTATTGTCGGCTTCACCACCTCTTTATAAATGGGGCTGGCCCCACCTCCCAGCAAGAAACTTGATTACTGAGGCTGGGCGGGAACCTCCAAAAATTAACACTGAGAGGCAAGCCAGCCCCTGTTTGCCAGTAAGCTCCCTGGCAACTGTAGCACTGCGTGCAATCCCGCAAAGGGCACCCACAATGTAAAGTGTGAGTGCTCATTCTAGAAGGCGCATCAAACTCTCACTCATCTGTCCTTCCAGTAAAAGTAGTCCCTAATACTAGAAACAGGCTTACAACTTCACTTGTTTGTTGCTTAACTCTTTAAGTTGCTATGCACACCGATGCCCTTGGTGTAAATCATAACAACTGACGTAGTATTCCCTTGTAAAAATCTGAATAGATATGTCACATTTGGGATTTGATCCCTTTCCATTACAATGATGTGAAAAACTTCAGGATATATAAGGCCCAAGAGACAAATTCTGCGCTTGCTCCCATTGCTGACTTTCATCTCAGCTTGCTACCAGTTGGTAATAATGTGGTAAATTATGAATTAGACAGTTCTAATGGAATTAATAATTGATGCATTTATTCATTAATAAATGTTAAAAATTAGTTGACACATGTGGCTATTGAAAATATTTGAAAAATGTGAAAATGTATTATAGCCGTCCCCCCAAACTGAGTTTCATAACATCTCTCAGTTTGTGTCATAATTAGCTTCTGTTTCAGGATTCACCTCATCCACAAAGATAGCCACATTAAAATGGTGGAAAACAATACAGTAAAAAAATAGAAATAGAAATCCTTTCTTTTAAGGCAAAAAACACAACAGCTAATTTAATTTCTATCCAAAAAATAACTAGATTGTCCATTTGTTACTAAGAAATTCTTCATCTCTATTCCCTAACATGGAGAAAATTGTATAACTGAGCAAAAAGTATGTGGAAAAGGGATTTTTGTGGTAAACTTTATATATAATGTGTCTAGTTTGGATATCTGAAGCAATTAATATTATTTTATTTTTTTAAAATGTACATTTGACTAAAGGTGGATGAAAAATGTATTTGGGCTGCATTGTAAAGTGAACTGACCTATTTTGCCAGTCATAGAGTTACATAAGAATTAGTACACAGCTATCAATCAGCATACATGCTTCTCTGAATTTTACAATGGAGTTTTGATTGCGGGTGGGGAAATGCATAAAGGTCTTTTCTATGGGGAAATGAGTATATTGGGGGCACATTGAAAAGCACAGAAAAATGCATCTTTTCGGGGAGAAATGTATATAACATGCATACAATTAAATTCAAAATATCCATGCTATTTTAAGGAAAAAAATACATAAAAATGGGATAAAATAGAGCTATGGTTGAGTTCAAGTTTAGAATGGAAGTAGGCTGATCTATCCATCTGTATATTCAGCACAAGGATATTTTGAGATCATTCAACAAAAAGGCCCAATGTTTGGGCAGCTAACAATGGGGAACTGCCCTTCAAATTAAAAGTACATTGACATGATGTGAAGTGTACATGTTTTCATCTCTATTTACTACAGGTTTCCCTCCCTAACACTCTCTTCTCCATGTGTTGGGTTGAAATAAGCGACAGACGAATGGCAAGGTGTCATACGGGAGGCATCTCTCGAGCATGTCTCGGAGAGTCCCTTTTATTGAATATTACAGCATTTCCACATATGTGCTTGTTGCTGATTGGTTAACATGAATACAATGCAAGGGTTGAATATAGGTATTAATCATCAATAGATTAAAGGGTGGGAAAGGGAACACAGAATTGGACAGGCGTGAAACCTTCTTATTAAACTATTAACTAGTGATTGAGTTACTTATTAAACTATTAACTAGCGATTGAGAAACTATTACTAATGATTGATTTTGCAAGACATGAAAGAACATAACAATCGCGTTCCGTAGATGTGGTCAACAATGCGTTAAGAACAGGTCAGGGTACTGAACTCAATGTGAACTGATCAGAACATTCCCAGACCCATGCGCAGAGGCAAAAACATCCCAGCATCCATGCTAAATATGTGTTCCATTAGAAATAGCAGTGATCAGAAACTCCAGTTTCCATCAGATTAGCATCGGTCTTCCCTCACTGGACCAGAACTAGGTGAACTTGGAGAAGCAACCTTTCAAAACTTTCATGGTAGAGACTAAATTCTATAATTATCTACTCAGAAAAGACTTAGAATCATAGGACCATAGAAGTGTAGATTTGGAAGGGAGGCATCTAGTCATTTAGTCCAACCTCTTGCAATGCAGGAATCTCAACTAAAGCATCCGTGACAAGGCAAGTCCACAACCTCCCATGTGAGTCCAAAAGCATGCATGCAGTGTCCAAATGAATTCAATCAAAATTACTTCTGAGTAGACCTGCAGACAATTGCAGTCTTAAAATAATGACTCTTTACACATTTTTAACTATTGTCTTTCCAGGTGACTTTGCTTTATCTATTTTATGAGGGGTTGTTTTTTTTTGGGGGGGGGCATGTTTCTAATGCTTCCCACCCCACTTTTACTATTTTGGGAATAGAATATCTTTTGATAGCATTATGTTGATCCCCCCTTCTTTTCAGATGGCAGAGCTTTGCAGCTAAATAAAGGAGGATAATAGTAATTTTGCGGCAGAGCATTTTGACAAAAAGGAGAGAGGAATCATGGCAGTGTGAGCTATTGTGTTTTAGAAGCAAAACATACGATTTAAATGT